CAGTGCAATTCATCACTAAATTGACGAAACGGAAATATCTAGGAGGATATAAGGTTACAAAACATCATCTACTCCTAACCTTCACAGTTCCTCATTAATTGTTTGTCCAAATAAGCCAGTATTTCTTTTTGGTACACGGTATCAATGTTGATTATCCATTAATAGCTTCCTTGCTGAATCAGCGTGAAACCCTGCATTTCACATCATATACATGAATAAACTGAAGACTTATTAACAGCAAGCCACTTACCCTTTGAACAATATCTAATTATCAAAACGAATTATCACAAATTCTAGCTGTATTTTCAATGAACACAACACTCGATCTCAACAAGTCTCCACTCACGATTCAGCGCGTGGGATGGATATACAACCGATAACTGTGTTTGTGGGCGTGGCCCCAAGCACACTCATGTGTGCATAAGGACATGTTTATGGTGGAGAGCATAAAGGAATAACATGCTCTTTAAACTGGAACGAATTCGATTCAAATGTGTCAGTGATATTAAAATCAAAACTTTAAAGACGTACAACAATTGTTTGATGTACCATGGCAATTCTCCAAGTTGTAATAATCCTCCTCCCTTCCCCCGCTTCATGACAAGGAGGTGGGTCCACTGTTGGTTAAAACAGGGGAAAGGGCTTTGAACTATTGTCTCGAACAGCTTCTGTCTCCTCCTTCGACTGGTTTCTGGTCCCAGGAGGAAGAGTCCAATCCCTGATCTTCTCCATAAATATACCGAATATAACAGTTGCGACAGATGCGTGTGAAGGTGCTGAGTACTCCTGCTTCGTGTTTGAGAGGTCCCGGTTCAAATCTCAGCTCGCGGACTGGCTATCTAGATAGGTTTGGCGTCATTTTCTTAGCTCATCCATGCAGATGCTAGGATAGTACTTCTAATTAGGCCACCACCGCTTCCTTCCAAATTCTTTCCAAATTATTCTGCAACCAACCCTTCTACGCCATATAATCTGAGCTATTAGGGCATCATTAAATAAACCAAGAATAAATTAATTTATTGTCATTTACAACCAGCAATGGCTCCGTATTAAGAATCGTACTGTTTCCTGGAACTAGCTAATTTGACCCCGGCCGCGGGATGCTTATCTCGGGATCATCCTCTGGAACAAATTCCAGGATACTTCCTCGAAAAAGGCTACGATTACTTCTTCCTCCTCCACTCTCAACTCGTAAGAGCTCTGCTTGCCACCTGCTTCACGCCGGTTTCTCGTTCGACTTAATCTTCGACCATGAAGATGGAGGCGACATGTTCCTCCGAAAGGTCTGTTGACTTTCAACGGACAACACGCGTTATATCCCAGAAGATAGAACTCTTCATAACCACCGCTGTGAGAACCTCGATTCCTACCCTTATATTGTCTTATACACGTATTTACCGTTATGGATGAGCTAAACACTAGGGGAGTAAGATAGACACACATAACTGCTTAAAAAAGGAGCACCACTCAAGCAATTAAGAAGACGGCATGACAATATTAAACTGGATCTCAAGGAAATAGGTTATGAAGCTGTATAGTCCAGAAACAAACTGATGTCATTTTTAGTGTGAATTTTTTATAAAAGACGTAGTCACTGATATGGGATTACAATTGCCCTTCACACTTTGTACATTTCAGCTATTTGAGCGCACATTTTAAGACAAAGAAAATAACTACCACCTGTTTCAAGCTGGTTTTTGCTTGACTTATTCTACGACCCTGAAGATGGAGGCGACATGTTCCTCCCGAAATGTCGGTTGACTTTCGACGGACTACTCGACGTTATATTCCGGAAGATAGAACTCTTTAATTTCTATGTTTATTGTGTCACGCAAAATGTTCAGTCGCTTTTGGTTCTACACTGAAAAAGAGATACATTTTTTATCCTGTAGCTCCAACAGAGAATCAACGCCAATTAGTAATTAAGCATGACTTTTTTCCTTGGCACTACAGCCCCAGTGGGCCTAGGCCTACCTCCATGAACTTCAGAATCTGTTAATTTTTCTTATACACTTACGCATTTACCCGAAACGTTTTCAGAAACTATGGACGCTATGGACAGTTCTTCAGAAGCTCACAAGTAGCCACTGCAGATCGGTGATATTTGGATAAATATGCCCATTTATTTAGAACTAATTTTAAATACAGAGAAGAGGAATTCAAGGAGTTTTAATCCGAACATAATTTATATTAAGGCGAAATCGACAGAAGCCAGGGGCAATAAAATTGGAACATAAAATCAATGCGTTAACTAAACAATGAAAAATTATCTGGAGGGGGAGATTTTTTCTATCTGACCTTGTGCACCTTCAGGTCTACACCCACCTAGAATCTAGACTGCACAGAACCCTTTGACGTTTTCCATCGGAGAATGTTGTACAACCTGGTCACTATACCGTAACTGCTACAAATGTTCTAGCAGTAGTCCAGGCGGCCCAGGCTATCCTTACTGTTTCTGTACTAGTACCCATTCGAGCACAAGCCGCGATTTTAAACTCAGGATATATTCGACTATTTCATTGTTTATGGCACTCGCTTTATGTCTTGCTGATCGGCATACCACTGTAATAAAATATGTCATTGCTTGAAGCAGGTCTTTACTTATCGGGCATGTATCGACGCAAGTGGTACTACGTTATACGTGTATTATAATATAATCGAACATATATGAGACCGCAAATAATTGTGAATAAGAATGGTGTCACAAATGTTGCAACAGAACAAAATACGAGTATGCAATAGACATTATATCTGCAGAACTTCCCTGGGCCCATTTGTTGCCACGTTCGCTGCTAACGGAGTTTCTGAAAAAGTAAAAGTGATACAATTTACAATATTTCAGAAGGTATTTTGATTTACTTTGCTGGGTAATACTCTAGGGATGACAAAACTTTACTTTATTTCGAAAGAGCAGTCGAGGAAGAGGCCGTAGCTTGTTACAAGGTACGATTTGTGAATCTGCTTCAGTATACCTTCATGAGAAAAACACCAAATATTTCAGAGGGGTCAGGGAATGAATTCGAATCGGTTACTTTCCAACCTTTCTCTAAAAACAACGCTAAATCGAGTTAACGAAATCAGTAACACGGTAACATGTACCATTCTTGTTATTCAGTTCGAAAAATATCCCCCGCACGCACATCTGCCATGCATTCATACACGGTACCTATGATTCTAATTAATATTTTCTTGCATCCGGAATAGTGTATGTCACGCTTGAGACGTGATTTATCAACTATCATAACATGATACTCCGAAGTATCTATTATGTTTATAGATATTAATATTTGAGTGATATTTAAATATACCTTTAAAATGTAGGATAAAACGAACAAAGTGTGCAGTTCGTTTCGAGAGAAAGAACAGAACAGAAGTCAACCTACTGCATAACTTCAGTTGCATGTTTGAAAGCACACTATCACCTCACTCCTACCTACATTTAGTATTATGCTTCTTTTGTGTGATAATTGCATTCAGAGTTTTAAAATGGCGCAATAGTTATGAGTTGGTCACTCTACTTTCTCCTTTGCATTTAACGTGCTTGGGGCTTCGAAAATTGTCATATTAAACACGTATATCAACACCATGACACGATATCTATAGAATTACTCAAAACAAGTAATGAACATGAAATTCTGGCAAACAGTCTGTCACATACCTACAGCCACATCAGGAAAGAAGGCGCTGTAGTCTCGTTTCATCTCAGAAAAATATGTATTCAAACTGTGCCTCATCCTAAGCACACGGAAGATCATATTCTTCATAATCACCACATGGAGAATCCCAAATCCCCAAATCTACCAGATTTGACATTTGAAAAATTGTGTCAAGGTCTGAGTTAATATATGGAAGTAACGCACGTATGATTAGTAATTCAGTTGAAACGAGATTAAGAGCAGCTGAAATAAAGTATAAGAAAAGCCCTGCAGTTAATATTCTGTTCAATCATAAAAGAAATGAAGACTTTTAAAATAATTATAAATTCAGCCCTTAAATTTATGCACAATTGCTGAACTAATTTGATAACAACAGAATACAAAAGAAACTTATAGCATACAAAAAAAGACATTTGAAAAAACCACTGTAGGAATGGAGTAACATTTCCTAACACCTGACAGGATAACACTAATTTTTGTAGGAAATATCTCCTGACATAAAAGAAAACTTTGAAATTGGAGCCACAGATATGAGACGCTAAACGCCGACATGCATTTTGACATTGTGACGCTGGACATGAAACGCGAAATTTGTTCTGTTCAACCCACGTCCGGAAGATTGAAAACTGTAATGTTGGGATTTTGGACTTTATCCATTGTCCTGGTTTTTAAGATAACAAATAAAAACACGACGTTTCGGAAACTGGATCTGTTTCCGTCCTCAGGTGAAGGAAAACACCTATTCAGTTGGGTCCCTTAGAAAGAGCTAGCCTCAATCAATCGTCCGGTGATTGAGGCTAGCTCTTTCTAAGGGACCCAACTGAATAGGTGTTTTCTTTCACCTGAGGACGGAAACAGATCCAGATTCCGAAACGTCGTGATTTTATTTGTTATCTTAAAAACCATGACGATGGATAAAGTCCAAAATCCCAACATATCAGTGTGTTATACACCATCGTCAGAATCCTGTAGTAACTAATTGAAAACTGTTTGACAAAGTGGTTAGCAGCGCTCCTTGTGGCAAGGATATGCAATCATACGATATATTCGATATATTTATGGTTACAGTTACAGATGACCTTAAAACGAGATTTCGATACTTAAATCGGTGACTTTATTATTTGTGGCGGCAATTGGTAAATGACGAACGTGGAAGCAGTATTCTCACGGTCCGTGGATAGTTGTAGGATTTGTCATTTAGAAAGGGATTAATTCGTTAATATTATCTGGAACGCCTTTTAGTGCCGTTTTTATTGCGTATGTTTCGCCTTCAGTTAGATTTTCTCTATATTTTAACAGGACTGGTTTGAAGACGGTTGTTTTCCATCGTTCTGTTAGGTTAGTTTCGATTTGAAAGTTCTGTGTCACTTCCCGGAATTCCTCACCCGACTAGAAGACATGTACTTTTAGTCTCTTAATTAGCAGAGGCAGATATGGGGATGGGGTGCATCTTCTTATGTTTGTAAACTGGTGGTGTGACACATTGCCATGTATTATAATTTTAATCAGTTCAACGGGATGGCGAAATACAGTATTTGGTACACCTAACGTAGGTATGGCGTTACAGTACGATGGCCATCAAACTTATTTTGCTCGTCAGTAGTTCTGACATGGGTTATAGGGGTTCTGTATTGTAGAAAGGGGTGTTCAAGGTGGTATGCTGTGTATAACACATTACATAAGTAATGGGTCAAATTAAAGTTCGGTAAGAGATGAGGGCATCCTATTGTTAATTTTGTAGGAGAGTGAGACCCTTATAATGAAAGCAACAGTTCTGCTAAACGAAACAGATGTGTCATTCCATAGACCCTGCAACAAATGCACTTGATCAGAAAATATAGGACAAATTACTCATGTCATTAGCGTCAGAACTGATTATGATACATGTTAAGTTATTAGAGGATTAATTCTGCAAGAATGAATATTCTTGTGGTCCTTCAATGGATTTTCTCAATTCCACCAAACAATTGATGAGCTAAACAATGATTTAAGAAAGTAGTCACTGAAAATAATAGCATTTTGTTTTGTTTCTGTTAGCATGGAGGAGTCTGAGCAGTTTCTTGATCAAATCCACTGCCAGCTATCTGCATCAGGCATGAACATGGACAGAGAAACTCTTAAGGATTATCTCTTGGTACCAGGAGAAGGACGACTTATGCTGATTCACTGGGCATTGTCTGAACTAAATATTGTAGTTAATAAACATGGTAATACATTCTTCACTATCTTAGCAAACTCACTTTTGTTACATCAGGCTTGATCGTTACATAGTGGATCAGATTCATATTCTGGTCTTTAAAGTTATGACCAGGGCCCGGATTTTGATGACATGTCTTTTCTTCCTTGCATCCTATGCGATGCTCTTACATATATAAATCTCGGATATGAGTTACTGGTTACAGAAACTTAAATTTTATGGGTAATTTTTTGTCATTTTTAGGTTTAAGGTCATTTTGTCATTTTTGGCCATTTTTCTTCATATGTTTTCTGAAATGTGAATAATATGGAAGCAAAGTGTCTTTCTCTTTCTCCTTTAGGTCATTTTTCTGGATTTTTTCGGTCGTTTTTTAAATATTTTCAGGTCATCAAAATCTGAGCCCTACATATTACATTTTTGGGTCATATTTTAGGTAATTTTTCTGGATTTTTTTCATCATTTTTTAAATATTTTCAGGTCATCAAAATCCAGGCCCTGGTTATGACACTGTGTCATCTAGTGAATGACACCAATGTTTGCCCTAAACACTGGTAATCATCTACTAGACTAACATGGCATCAGTAAATGTGTTCATCTACACATCTGTATTTGGGAGGTGTTTAGTTCAGATCTTGGGGCATGCAGTAGTGTAGTTGGTTAAGGCATTATGCTAAAAGCTGGAAGGTAATGGGTTTGATCCTGATGTCATTGGATTTTTCAGTTGACCTAATCCTTCCAGCTGTACTATATGCTGGGGGTTGACTAAGCCTCTTAACAGAAATGAGTACCAGGAATCTTCCCGGGGGTAAATGGCAGCCAACACTTAACACTGAACACCTTAGCGCCATCTGCGAGTCAGTTGTCTAGGAAATATGGGAACCTCAACGTGTCACAACCCTATGGGCCTCCACAGCCTGTTACAGGAATAATTTTACCCCCCCCCCTTTTTAAGTTCAAATCTCAGCTGGGCACTGGATATCCTGACAGAGGTTTCTTATGATTTTCCTCCCTTGAGTCAAACCACAGGATGGTACTTGAATTGGGCCACAACTACCTCCTTCCAAATCCTTTCCAATTCAGCATTCACCCTACCATCTGATGCTGCACAGTCTTGACACTGAATGTATTGTTAAATAACCCACAATCCGAAAGACAATATCATTTGACGTCCATACATTATTTAGATACTGGGTCTTATACTTATTCCAGTATCCTCTGTTACATTTAATTTAGGTTTTGGATCAGATTTGGCTTGGCTGTCCCAAGCACAACATTTAGTTCTATTGCAGTTGAAACTGAGTTATTATCCTTGGTTTCAATAGATTCATCTGGCTCAGGACAGGGAGCAGTGGAGGGTTCTTGTGAACACTAATGAACTTTTGTGTTCCATAAAATTTTGGGAAATTCTTGAGAAGTTGAGCAACTGGCAGCTTCTCAAGGACTAACTCCATGGAGTTAGTTCATCTTATTCATATTTTATTTTGAAACTAGGACATTAACCCTTAAGCAAATAGTTGCCTGTGTGAGACGAAAACGGAAGCAGTACCTTCTTCTGAGACGATGGTGAACATCTACCATACTGCATGGTATCATATCTCTGAAGATATCTTCATAGTTACCATTAACTGATATCAGGATAAAACCTACATCTTGTACAGGAAAACACCAACTTTCAAGAATATTGGAATTGACACTGCATAGTCTGTCAGGTTGTTTCCAACATTTTTGAGGTAATGCCATATCAGACTGTGTTGTGTCATACCCCAGAATACAGGAACATTCCTAATCACAATCATGAACACCTCAAATCTCAGTAACTTTTCAGTTTCCTTGTAGTCAATTTGGCCATTCTCTTGCAGATATTACAGAAGTTGTTATTGAATGTGGGCTGTGCTTGCCATCAAATTCCAACACTGTACTCGTAAGTAGCAACATGTTCATGTTAACCATTAAAATCCCACTGCATAAAAGAAGTCTTGATATTATTTCTTGTTCATAGTGTTTTCCAGGGCTCATGCAACATTGATTTCTTGTTTAGGGAGTTACAGACAGACAGTGATGTGTCTGAAGATATTTCTGCCATCTGTTGGCAATGTACTCAGTTATGTATGAATACTTCTGAAGTTGCACACGACAATAAAATAAGTCTATTTTTCTTACCTGTCAAAAGTATACCAGTGGGGTAATCTTAAATCCTACCAGGACAAGAAATGTGAAATTTCATGTAGAAGTTGAACATTCCTTTTTGTTACATTGTAGGGCAAATGCTCAGCAAAAGATAACTTTGAATTCTGGAAGAGGCTGTTTCACATGGTTAGAATGTACCAGGAAGCGAAACCTGCACAGTCTGCTAGTATGTACAGAAACGTATGTAAGTTCTGGCTTGAGTTGGCAGCAAACCCAGAGCTGAAAGTGAGTACCCAATTGCTGATTCATTTTCTTCTCAATTCCTTTGTATGTGAACTCATATTAACCCTTTGAGACCTCTCACTGGGAAAAGTCAGTTTCTCGTGGAATGATTAATTTTGTAACAGTAAAATATATGAGAACATACAACATAAAAAGATGTAGTGTTTCTTCTTCTGTCCTCACTTTTCCTACTTGCTGAATGTTCTGACCCAGAAAACACTGCATTCAGGGCCTGAAAGAGCTAATGATACAAAAATAAAAACCTATTGATACCTGCATCATATATATACCAACTTCTCTCTTCAGTCCAAATATTCTCCTCAGCACCCTGTTCTCAAACACCCTCAGTCTTTGTTCCTCCCTTAATGTCAGGGACCAAGTTTCACACCTATACAGAACCACAGGCAAAATTATAGTTCTGTATATTTTTAGACAGCAGACAAGAAGACAAATGGTAGCAAGCATTACCTGAATCCATTCTCCTCTTAATTTCCTCCTGAATAAAGTTTTGATGTGTTACTGTCATTCTCAAATATTTGAACTGTGCCATATTCTCAAGGGATCTGTTAGCTATCTTTATGTCATGATTTTCCCCTGCATTCTGGTGATAAAACAGCAACATATACTTAGTTTTCTCTGTTTACTTCTAGAGTCATGCTACCATCCAGTGCAAAAAAGTCTCAATACTGAAAGTACTGTTAAATAACCCCAAAAAATGTCTCATCGTTACTGTTGTCCTGTAACTCAATGCTTCAGAACTCAAGAAGCTGATAAAACATCTTTTTGTAAAGCAGTAAACTTAATTCTGTTGTAATATTTTATGTGTGGTCCATTATATAACCTCTGTTGAACAGGATGTATTGCAACCTAAAAGAAAAGATATCTTGCCAATAAAATTGCCAAAGAATTCAGCCAAGAACATATCAGTGGAGAAAATACTTAAGGAAAAATTATTAGAAGAACGTAAATTACGAGAACTGCAAAAAGAAGCAGAAACATATCAGCAGTCAGAAGATAAGGTAAGTACTCTATACGGTCGTCTGAGACAATGCTCTGTAGTTTCGTATCTATCTAGCAAACTTTGATTTTGCATCCTGGACCAATGTGAGAGCTCAGATCTCATCAAAGTATGCAAGTAATTTTACCTGCTGTGACAAAATTTGATTGTAACTTCTAGATACTAAGTGACTCCCCATTTCATACACCTCTGGTTTTCCAATTTATATTGGTATGATGACAAGCAATGTAAGATTTTCTTGCAGGAATATAGTCCATATTTTATATGTTAAATTGGATTTACTGAATATCATTTTTGTCTATCCATGTTTCTCTTGGAACATTCAGTACCACATAAAGCGATTCATGAGGAAATTACAGTTCTGCTGAACTGGACTGTTCATTGCATTTTTCAGGAAAAATATTGCAATATTGGAGCTCACGATGCAGAAGAATTAGACAAACTGAAACATCACGTTCACATATTCAAACATTACATGGCTAATTTCTTAATGCCATGGATATTGGACACGCCTCAAAATTCTGAACTGGATAAATATAATGAAGTGATCCCTGAACTTGCCAGCAAAGTGGAGAAAGTAAGGGAGGTAAGAAGAAACACTTATCAGAATATAGTATGCATTTGGCAGTGGACTAGTTAACCTAATCCTTCCAGCCGCACTATGGCCCTGGGGTCGACTCAGCCTCTAACAGAAATAAGTACCAGGCATTAATTAAATAATTTTCCTGGGGAGTAAAGCGCGGCCGGCATGTAAGGCTGACAACCTTAACGCCATCTTTGAGCCGACTGTCTAGATAATATGGGACCCTCAACGTCTCACAACCCTATGGGCCTTCACGGCCTGTTACAGGGATAGCTTTACTTACTTTTTTTTTTTTACTTTTTATCCCAATCCCAGCTTAGAATTCCACATCAAGCTGCAGGTGTAATAAAGGGTATGAATCTGTTTCAGATCTGCAACAATGCAGCAAAGATATCAGCAGCATTAGAAGAATTGCCAAACATTAAGCTTGAAGAACCACTGGGGGAAGAGCGATTAGGTCTGCCATACTTACAGAAGGAAAAAATGGTCCAGCATTCATATGATAAAAAGATCTGAGGAATAAGAACTTTTGCACGTTACAGTATCAATCATTCCATGTTTGTCGACTGACTCAGTGGCAAATCAGTTGCAGACAAAATACACTTCATGCTATTCAGTGTTGCTGTTGTCATATAAATACACAAAATATATGAAAATGGAATAACTTGTCCTTGTTAATTTTTGGATATGAACCAGTTTTGAATATTATTATTTATTATTAAATCACTGAATGTTTCTATTCAGGAGAATAAATAATTTCAGTTGTTTATGCAGTAATATGTTTAACTCAGTATTTCACTGTGACTGAATGGACAATACAGAAGCTGCTGTTTGTTCCTAATATTGTGATGCATTTACCTCATTTTGATCATTTTTTTGCACAGAATTGTCAGAATAGGATAATTTGCTTACATTTTGGAGGACAAAATATGAAATACCTCAATTCCTAATACAAATCTCTGAAGAGACACTGATCTATGATGTTGAACAGGTTATATATACTTTATTCACTGAGAACTAATGTAAAGCTTCAGAATATGTGGAGATTTAACTGCATGTCTCTATGCACCTTAATGCTGTCATAGTTTGGTACAAAGGCAACTTCATCTTCTTAACATACTGGTAACACTGAAGCTTGGCATGAAGGCATAACAAACCAAATGGCCTAATGCCTCAAAAAATGAGCGTACAGCACTCCTCATTTTATAAGTTGTGTTCCAAAGAGAAAAACCAGCAAAATGTGAAACTGCTTAAATCAAACATTAGCTGGGCCAAATTCTCACTTCTCCCCTCACATTTCTCCTCCAACATTTTCCCTGCCTCTCATTTGTCTAACAAGCAGTATGTACTGAAGTGAGTACTGTCAATTAAAATTGGTCTAAATTCATACGTGCATTAAAATGAAACTGCATATTTTGAATTCCCATATAACTAGGGGTACATATACCTCAACTACCAAATATTTTCTATTATGTATATGTCAAAATGAATGTCCATGCTTCAACAAATAACTGTTGATGTTGCATAATATGCAGTAAGAACACTAAGCATATCACAACAAATGTACATTAGCACTAAATAATGACGTTTAGTTGTCCACTGAATTATGAAATATATAACAGAATCAAAGCCTATTTTACAGAAATTCGTCTGGAATAAATGTCCCATAATTGTGCTAAAACAAATGTCTGATGATATAAGTAAAATGAAGAACTCTTACAAGGTGCATACACAAAATTTCAGCTCAGTGTAGAACCATTAAAAATTCACATGTCCAGTCTCAGATTTTGGTCAGGAAAATAAATACACGTAAGCAGTAATAGTATACACTTGGTTCCACTTTAAAATGAGTTCATTACTTCACAGCATGCGCACATGTGCGTGTAAGTACAAGGGTAAGTCAATAAGTAAGTTAGAAATGGATATAGAATTTAAACAAGTAAGAGTACTGATTTGAAAAATGCCTTTATATCTCAACATAATCTCCCTGTACATTGGGGCACTTGTCCCATCCTTTCACAAGCCCCTGAAAACCAGCAGCATAAAATTCTTTGGGCTGCTGTCGGAACTAGATGGTAACTTCCCTACAGAAGGGTAACTATAGACTCTATAGCCACTGCTACTGGTTGTTCACATGGCATGGCCTACCTCATAATGCATGACAGGTTAGGTTTTCACACATTCTGAGCACGATGGGCGCCGCGCATGCTGACCCCTCAACACAAAATGCAAAGAATGGGTCTGGCATTACAGTATCTCAATCGCTACCATGAAGGACATGATACAGTAGCCCAAATTGTCACAGGTGACGAGTCTTGCTCCAAGCAACTTCCATTTGTTCGGCCCTCTTAAACATCATCTTTCGGCTGAACATTTTCCCGACCATGAAGCTGTATCAAGGGAAGTCACCGCCTGGTTCCGGCAGCAGCCCAAAGAATTTTATGCTGCTAGTTTTCAGGGGCCTGTGAAATGATGGGACAAGTGCCTCAGTGTACAGTGAGATTATGTTGAGAAATAAAAACATTTTTCAAATCAGTACTCTCGTTTGTTTAAGTTCTATATCCATTTGTAACTTACTTATTCACTTACCTACGTAAGTTTGGACACTCATACGAGATTTAAAATTCTAATGCCAGTGAGTCATCTGGGATGTGATACCATGCAGTTTGGTAGATATATATACCAACGTTCTGGAGCCACCTATTGCCTCTATCTTTGTTGGTACCTATATAGAGAACAGAGCATCAGAACCCAGAAGTCCACAATCTCATGTCAGTGAAATTAATTATGGTTATAACTGGATGGGTTCAATAACTCACAATTCTGTAGTTTCAGTCAACTCTTGCTTTGTATTTAATTATACAAGCGATAACCTAAATTGATCACAATTCTACAAGTTGAGCAGAATTCTACCAAGTCATACTGGGCATAATTAATTTGTATCATACACTGAATTCAAAGAATGTAAATTCATGTCACATAGCCATAAGCTCCTCCATGTCACAAGGTCAGATATCTAATATGATGAAACATTTATAAACTAAATGTATTTGATATTTCAACTGTACAAAATGATTTTCATTCTCTACACACCTGAGTGCCTACTGACATAAAAATACAGTAAAACCTCAGTAATTTGGGCTAATAGAGGAAAAGTGGGTAGCCCGAATTACAGAACATAATTGTACGTAATCATTTTCAAGTTGCAATTAATAAAACTCAGCGAATTTAAATCAATCCAGAAACATATATTGACTTTGATGGTAGTGGGGCACAGATAGGCCTGCTGTATGACAATGTTTCTGTTCAAAACAAAACATAAAGAACTCAGATCAATATGAAGAGGACATCTGTTTTAAATAGTAAACTATAATTGATGTGCTGAATGTTGATGATGATGATAATAATATGGCAGTCCAAACTATACACAATCCAAATTAGTGAGGTTTTACTGTATAATAAATCCTTTACAACAAAAATTCAGAGTAGAAATTAACCCATTAAACTCAGTTTCCATGTTTGAAATCAAGTTAATGGAACAGAATCACTCAACACCTCTAATAAAATACAAATTCTTAACATCAGTCACGAGTACAGAACAAGTGGTGCACAAAGATGTTACCGGTGACATTCACATACCTACCAGACAAAATTACCATACAAATACAGATGGCAGCATGGCTCAAAATGTCAGAACACAATCCAGACTTGAAGTCACTATCAAAAAGAGTAATAGCTAGGCACACTCCATAGAATGGGGATTAAACTGGCTCAAAAAATGCAGTTCTTGTGGCTCATGTATTGCTGTTGCTCGTCACCCCCAACTATGCTTTCTCTGACCTCTGGCCCCTTTTCATGTAAGCAGTGGACCCCAGTCCTGTGTGAGGTACAATCCTCTAAAGGGAGAAGCCTGCAGCTGTATTAGGCTACATAGAATTTGGTTGTGTTCACCATCCCATCTGTAACTTTACTGATCTCATTTACAATAAAGGCAGTTCACCAACCAACCCAGATCTTATATCTTCACACATTTTTCCTGAAGCAGCATGAAAATTGTTCAGGACATGAGCATGGAGCAACACATGTCTAGCATATGAAACAAATTCAAAATATATAACTTGGAAAAATATATATATATACACACACACAAACACACGTAAAGGTTTAAAACCAGATTTCACAGAATTCATAATATAAGAGAAAAATGGAAGAGGAAGAAAAAGAGAAGCAAACTGGGTAAAGAATAAAGAAGAATTTAAACGTACAATTATGATATTTCACAGCAGACAAATCCAGTTCAACATTTAAAATATGACACATGCTATAAAATCATATTCAAACTGCAATAAAACTCTTTAACTCTATAGAGTTTCCTTGACAAAAGAAAACATTGCCTTCAAATTTGGACAAAAGACTCTGGGAGGAGAAACAAATATTCTCAAGAAATTTAAAAATTATGGAAGGCCACATAAATTAAATTGAGCTAATAATAAGTGACAATAATATAGAACTGAACTGAACAAAGAGTTACTATAGCAGAACACTGTACTACACCACAGAAAATTAAAATGTTCTGCAGTGCCCTCCCAGCTGTACACTGAACACACTTGACTACACATCTACATGCATCAGTCTTCACATTACAGAGTCTACAAATTCCAGCGAACAAGACTCATATATCCCAATGGTTAGCTTATGCCAACAATTAATCCTGACATGCACAACATGAAGCAAAAGGACATGATCCAAGATCATCACAATCAGTAAAAATAGTTGTGTAGGATAATACTGATATTTCTGAGAAACATGTTGCCCCCATCTCCACAGGTGAAGTGTGTAGGGTGAGGAATCTGTTGGACTATCACACTAAACTCCCCACTATTCAGTATCAAAGCATCCAAAATTCTCATGCCACTAGCAACAATTTCAAAAGGAAATTAGAAAAAAAAAGCTGCAAACATGTATATGTTCACCTGCCACCACAAACAGTGCTTCCCTTCATTCTTTCTGATGCAGTTCCAGAAGTTAACTGAATTTGTTCTTAAGTTACAGTATATCCAAATATTTTGTCTTATTAATCTGCAGTGAACTTAATTTTGTGCCTTTCTTTCACTGTGTACTTAATACTGTGTTGGGGGTCTGTAAGTTTTCTTTTTCAGTAAATTACACCCCATTCCCCATACATGACAGATAACCATAAGTTTACTGTGTATACGCAGGTAGTAAGGAGGGAGGAAGGTGGAGCCATCTGGCCCCCATGGGCCTGAGTGAACACATTCCTTACAACATAACCAATGGCTCCTCCTACATGCCACCCCTGAAGTTGCCTACAAGGCTACACCACCATAACATAGAACAGCATAATCTGAGCAGTCACCACTGTGAAAACCCCAAAACATAGAAACATTAGCAGTTACTACCAAGAATGACAAATTGTATCCTTTTACCCCTTTTGTCATGCAGCATATTATAACAAGTTCTGAGTTTGTTATTTACTGCAATGATAAACAGTTAACAAACATTATCTTTAAATAATCCACAATCATAATTTATTCTTTCTTAATATTACATGATATAGAACTATTACAGATATACTAGACAATTTCACTGACATTCATACCATAAAATATATCCCTAAAACTACAAATTCTTAGTGTCTGATGAATGACAACAGCTCAAATCCCATTTAACATTTCTTGGTTTATTGTTTTCTCAAATTTAGCTCCACCCTCATTATCTCACCTTAAGTTCCCTTCAATTAGGGCTTCTCTCAGATCCATTATTCAAATCTGGAGAAACATTAAAGGGGACTTCCACTGTACTGGTATGTTTATCATTTTTTCAAGCACTTGAATACTACTGAAATTGTGAGACCAAATCTACACATGAAACTTTTTACACATATAAGCATCCTGAACTATCCTAACGTTTAAAACAAACAGGATTAACAAAGAGCTAATTCATATGACTTTCTTGGAAGTTTGGACCACTAGAATTCAAAATGCAATGAAGAACAAGTGGTATACAATCAGTAAAATTACCACTTAAGTTTTGTGAGAGCTTTATCTATTGTTATTTTTTGGGGATTGGGGTCCTTCAATTTCATTTATTAAGTTAAATGTAGAGCTTGAACCCAATGACTAATACTTCGGTAGAGTGCTGTAGCGTGGTGGTGTTCTCCAAACTGCACTTGATGTCCTTTTTACACATTTCACACCAAACATCATCGTGAGGTTTGGTGTTTTTTCCGCAGAGCCAAAGTAGGCATCATATATTTTCTGTCTCTTCCAGGCCTGAATTTTCAGAACTTTCATACGTTCCGCTTCTGAAACAAGAAAAAAGTCTGATCTAAATCCTCAGAATCATTACACGTGCCAATTCATTTCATAATATATTGTTAGTGGATATCATCTTTCAACACACATTTGAATGGCCTGAAACCATAATTGTTACCATTCAGATGATCACGAAATATTCTGCTTTTAAGAAACTGACCACTATTTTCCTTTACATGAATATTAACATTTTTATTTTAACTGATGAAAGAAGATTTACACCAGCATTAACACCAATTTCCAAAACAGAATGACAGTTATTTGCAAAGTAAAGATACTATGCACTTTAATTAAACTCTTGGGTCAATACTGTAGCCTTGTGTGAGCATATAAATTGCAAACAGGGAGGATATCCACACCATTTTTATTTTATTTTCTACTAATGTCACCTGATTAATTTATTTCATTTTATTTTTATATCCATTTTACTTCTACTCCTGTTCATCCTCAGCTTACTGTTCTACCCTGAAAAAGGAGGCAACATCTTTCTCTAAAATAACAGTACCTGCCTACTACACTACATGGTATCCCATTCCAGAAGACCATAATCTTAATAGTCACCAGCACAAGAACTTCAAGTCTTGCAATGCTGGTATTTCCTTCCGTGCCTAACACAACTTACAATTCATAACGTGACTGGATGAAAATAACATTTGCAATTCAGATTCGTTTAGCGACCCATTATACTTACTAGTTGCCCAGAAAGGAATTGGTCTCTTTGGCCTTTCATCATCCTCGCTGGAGGCTCCTGATGAGTCAATTCCATAATCATCTACATCTGGAATTACTGCCTTCTTGGCTTGGCTTACATTGGCGCTGGAAGGGAGCATATCGAAAGTTTTGTCCATGACTGCAGCTTTACTTGGGACACCTTTCCCTTTCGCTTCAGTCTGAAAGGAACAGAACATTACCCACTGTATATTCTCCAGTAAATGTTGAAAAATATCCAGAATCCACCACAAGGCTCGAAATAAACAAGTTCTAGTGTTTTACGACAGTCTGATTAAAATCACATACTTACATACCTGATGTAACATGTGATGGATACGTACCTTTTCCTTTGCTTGCTTTTCCTTCAGGAGCTTAGCTTGCATCTGAGCTACTGCTAAAGCCTGCTGCTCCCTAGATAGTGAGAGAGAAAAAAAGCAAAGTAATATTAAATAAAAATAAATGCAATGTGGCTAATCAGAAAAGATGCCAGGCACAATTACCAGTGAAACAGAATTTGGAAAAGGTGTAGCATCATTACATTTGCAGACTAAGAAAATCTGTTTATTCAGATTCAATACTGGGCCACATACAACAAAAAAGCGAGTTTCTTCTGACAAATTTCAGTTATAAAAGAGTTATGAATGGCCATCAATTCTGCCAACACCATGGAACAGCTCAAAGTTGTTACTATTGTAGCATGTAGGCCTATTGCTAGGCAACGACTGCAAAGCAAACAAGAAAAGACATTGCTAGGCATTGGTCTAGGCATAACAATGAAGTATTGGTGGAAGCAGTGTCTTCTATGTGGTCCACTCTGAGGCTATATCACATGACTGACTGAGCTTGGTTCAGTTAGTGAGTGCAGCGCAGCAGAGTGGAGCAAGTTGGTTGGTAAGTGAGTTAGACTGTAGTTCAGTCCTTGTGAGCTGCTGCTGTTAGAAGTTGGTAGCTGAGGCACAGGGATGGTTCAGGAACTCAGAGTAAGGGGAACGTCCACCGTTGGAAGTCGTTACCAGGCAATGACTGGTGAAGACACAGCAGGCTGAAAAGGCTTAGTGTGTGCTATAGTGAATTGTAAAGTGTGTGAATTAGAGATAGCGCTATAGTTACTTGTAGTTGCTATTTGTAAGTGGTCAGTAAATCCAATTACTAATCCAAACACTGTCTACAGGCCCTCATACACATAACAGTATCTTATTGCCAGTACCTGTCATGAGTCCCACCTGGCATTCCCATTAACAATTGAAGCAAAAAATCTGCAAAATATACTTTTCAACTTGTAGTTTTTTGTTTTCTTTGAGAACATATTAAGAAATATTATATCGTAGCATCACATCTTGAATAGGGAAAGCTAGCAGACCAGAGAAAAAGGTGAATATATTAAAAGCTGTATATATTTCATGGGAAAAAAAAAGAAAATTGCCAAAACATGTACTAGTTAATACATGATGTATAGTGCAACTATATACACAGTGTAGTGACAGAACAACAGTAGGTACAAAGAAATGTTTTCATACCTTAAAGTTAAATATAATCAAAATACCAACCTCTCCATTTATGTTATTTTACACTTGTAGCTCATCTTGGTGTGGAGTACTATCAGTATTTTCATGATTAGAAAGGCTCTGTGGGCAAGGTAGTCTACAGTCTCACATCAATTCAGGGATCTACTCCTTCATGACAAAGTTTATGCATGGATGATACAACTTGCCTGAAAGCCGCAGCTTCCTTCTCCTCAGCCAAACGTTGCAGGTGTTGCCTCTCTGCATCTTCCTGCTCCTTTTTACGCTCTGCTTGAAGACGGCGCTGCTCTTCTTCCTAACAGAAGCACAAGGTTTTTAAATCTCCCAGAACTACATGGTTGGTAATCACACTTTAACACTTAGGTAATATGAATCACAATAACAATAAATTATGGTTATCTGTAAATCATTCTTTGAGAATTATAAACACAGAATGACCAGAAGACAAGTTAAGGAAGGAGGAAAAAATGTCAGAAAGAAATGTACTCAACTCAAATCCTTCAGGGAGCTGAGGGAGAGAAGGACTATGAAGAACTGTAGCACCCTTGCCCTCCTAAGGAGTCCTTACTAGTTTAAATATTTCATAGTACAGTAACAACATACAACTAAAACTCCAGCTGAAAGGATTCTGTAAAGCTTCATACTGAATATTTTGGTCCAGTCAATTCATCTTGAGGGTTAGATCCCGCTTGTATTCTTACTTCTGCTTCAATATATTCAAATACATTTCTCCAAGAAAAGGAATTTCTAGCCATACTTGGTAACCTCTGCAACTGAAGCTATACTTACACTATTACAATTTTTATCAATAATTCATTATAATCTTTCTGCTAAAAGTAATTAACAGTGAAATCTCAAAATTATACAAACTCTTCTAAACTAAGCAGTTGTGACTCTTTGGCACTCTCCAAAATATAATCTGTACACATTTGTCATGAAATCATCTATGGAATCTTCATTCAGTGTTCTCAATTGAACATGTTCTCTGACTTTAAGATAAATTCAAATACTTCAGAGCAAAAATTCCATACTGAATTTCTATTTAAGTAAATTATTCTTTGTTCTCAAAGAAACCAAACTGTGATTTCATGAAATACAGAGAAGTTTCTTGGGAAACAACTATTCAGTTTAAATCTCTCACTGCTATGGTGCTGTTGGACAAGTGTTAACATGGAGGTTATGGTATTTACACTGGAACAAAGTGGTACTAAGCCTGCTCAACCCAATGCACAGATAATAAGACTTACCTATCTCATGCAATAGGTGAACTGTAGCATCACGAACAGAAACATGAAATTTACATTGGGTTAAACAAAGGAATGACTTTACAGGTTTATGTCACAAATCCCCAGCAATTATACTGTAATCCCACGAGATGTGAAGCATCGGTAACAAGCAAGCACAGAAGAGTAAGTGCGAGGCTACGCGGCTCCTTTATGAAAACATGTACCTCCAAATACAGGAATTCCTAGCTCAATCAAACATCATCTTGAGACCAGTTGCTCAGGCTAATTAGGCCTAATGCTAGAACAGATAAGCTGATACAGGGAAGTTGTGATGTTTGCAGGTAAAAGGTAAAATAAAATTTCCCCTGCACTTAATTAATTAACCACACCATTAAGATAGACAAGGGAGTGGAGGTATAGCTCTACCATTCTTGACCTTGGCACTAGATGGAGTTGAGCGGTCTGCTTCGTGCCCTGGCCCCTGGCACCCATTGGATAGAAAGCAGGGTAAGCCCCAGATCCGGTCTGGACATTGTGGAGTTGAGAAAAATCTCTTGTCCTCACTGTGAAAAACCCCAGCTGTCCAGCCCGTAGCCCATTGCTATACTGACTGAGCTACCCTGGCTCTGATGTTTGAAGTAATACTGGAACATACTTCACATATTTATAGAACTGCTGTTGAAATATCAACAGGAGCTGCATTTGATTCTGGGCCAAAATCTGAAAACCTCTCACAAAAATTTACTCAGCCATAGTGATGCAACTATTCATATACTTGCTACCTCATCAGGACGAGTGGGTGAGCAGGGCACTGTACTGTTCCTGCAGCCTCAGAGTAGTTCATACCTGTTCCTTGAGTTTGGCCAAACGAGCTGCTTCCTCTTGTTTTCTGCGCTCTTCAATTTCTGCTGCCTTTTTCTGGGCATGTTGCTTTTTCTGTTGGACTTGTTCCTTAATTCTTTCTTCACGGTCCTGCATCACTTGTTTCAGTTTCTCCTCTTTCTCCCTCTGTATGCGCAATTCTGCATCCTGTTTCTGCTTCTCAAGGGCTTCTCGGGCTTTCAAAACTTTCTGCATTTTCTCCTCACGCTTCCTGCACATTTGCATCAAATATGAGGTAATTGGATTTTTTTCAATTGACCTAATCCTTCCAGCCGCACTATGGCCCTGGGGTCGACTCAGCCTCTAACAGAAATGAGTACCAGGAATTAATTAAATAATTTTTCTGGGGAGTAAAGCGTGGCCGGCGTGTAAGGCTGACAACCTTACCACCATCTTTGAGCCGATTGTCTAGATAATGTGGGACCCTCAACGTCTCACAACCCTATGGGCCTTCATGGCCCGGTACAGGGATAGCTTTACTTTTTTTTATGTCAATAGAATATATCATTTAGCTATAACTAATTTTAGTCAAGTAATTAAGGCTGTCCAGTGGCTGACGGTAGCAGGATCTGTTGGTCCTGACTGAGTAGGCACTTTCCCATCTTCTCTCCAGTTTATAATGTGTTCAATCAGAATACTAAGATGATGGACAAAGTCCAGTAATCCAGAAATTACTATGTAGGGTAGGGGGACAGAAAGGGAACACATGTATGATATATTGTCCTAGCCTATGAAATTTTCCACACAAGATTCAGTCATTCATTTCATTCATCAATGGCTCTACAGTCCTTAGTTGGGCCCTGGCCTCTTCTTCACTTTCATACTCTTTGTTACACAGACAGTAGGATTCCTTAGACAAGTGATCAGCTTGTAACAAGGCTGCTATCTACACATAAGACAACACAATTAATTTTAATTCTTTTTTCTTTAATTTGCTAGTGGGGGGTGGAGTCCAGCTGGTTCCACTCGGCACAGTGGCCACTGATTGGCCTATTGTACCTGCCCAGGGTGATTATGATGGAGAATTTGGTGGAATGATGATTGGCAGGGGAAACCGAAGTACTCGGAGAAAAACTGCCCCAGCACCACTTTGTCCACCACAAATTCCACTTGACTAAACCCGGGATCGAACCCGGGCCACCGCAGTGGGAAGCCAGCGACTAACCACTTGAGCTATGGCGTGGCCTAAGACAACACAAACACAGAATAAACGCACACAGACAGCCATGCCTTGAGTGGGATTTGAACCCACAATCCCAGCGTTCACGCAAGAGGAGACAGTTCATGCCTTAGACCAGGTGACCACTGTGACTGACTTCCATGCAAGACTACCTTCTATAATTTCGGAGTGAACAGTCAGAATGAAAAGAGCATTAGATTGATATATGTAGCAGTCTGAATGCACAGAGTAACGGGTGGAAGCATGATCACAATGTTATAGGTGCACTAACAAAATGGAGAATTCCAAAATTAATTATAGTACATACATTTTAAAAAAATTTAGATGAATAAAATGGAACCAACAGAAGTAAGACATGATACATATCAGGCATGTATCTCAACTCACATTTTATCAAATCAGAACATTTTAAAACATGTATCACATTTACAGCGATGAAGAAAATCAAAATTAACCTCAACTTCATCTCTTCATATCAGAAACAAATTACAGTTTACAGCATCAATGTAACAATGAAGACATTACCTTCGTTTTTCTTCCACTTTTTCCTTCACCTTTTGTTCTCTCTTCTTCCTAGCTTCTTCTTCTTTCTCTCTACGACGTTTCATTTCTTCTTCCTTCATTTCCCGAATATCATCCAGTGTAGGTTTCACAGCTTGCTTAGTCAAAAAAGAATCTAACCCAACTACAAGATTACCAGGTTGTTTGTTTACCTGAAATACATGAAATCATCACAAGGGGACAGAAACACAGCAGGAGCAGCAGTGTACTCTCTGCTGCACAGCTCGACCTTCCCAGGAGACATGCAATTGATTCTCTCGATATGGCCAGCAATGCTGTGTAATTATTCATAAGGCTAACATGGGATAAAACACATAATTCACATCCTTATAAAAATATCATGGTATCAAACATGCAGTTCAGCATCTACATAAGAATGTGGCACCAAACATGCAGTTCAACACACTCACAATAACGTGGCACCAAACATGCAGATAAGCACCTACATAAGAATGTGGCACCATACAAGCAGTTCAACACCCCCATAATAACGTGGCACCAAACATGCAGATCAGTGCCTACATAAGAATGTGGCACCATACACACAGTTCAACACCCCCACAATAACGTGGCACCAAACATGCAGATCAGTGCCTACATAAGAATGATGACACCCAGCAGTTCAATATCTCATATGAATAACAGAGCACAGTGCAGTATAATCTACCTTTAAGAATATGGGGCAATAATACAATCCGGCACTTCCACAAGAACAATAAAATTCAAGACATTTGACATGTTTCTTTTTGTAGTTTATTTAATGACACTGTCTATTAACTCAGACCATATAGAGTAGTTTAATAACAGGATGACACCATATAATAAATAGGAGAGGATGTGAAAGGAAGTGATCATGGCTTAATTTAAGGCACTATTCTGGCATTTGGCTGGAGATTCAAAGGTGCAAGGATATTCATGTCCCAGCCGAGATTCAAACCAGGTACCTGAGTACATGTCAGAAGTATTGCAGCATGAGTCAACTTGCTCATTTTGACGTGTGTTGATTATGAGAAGAGTAAGATGGAAATTGACTTACCAAGTAATGCCCTTTAGATAAAGATCCTACAGGAAAGGCACGAGAACCAGAATTTGCACTTGTGTTGCTAATATTACTTGATGAAAGTGGTGTCTTTCGATATTTCTCATAGTTGTATAATCCATATGGAGTAGTGAACTTCGATGCTGAAAATGAACTCATGGAATTCTAGAAGAACAAAAAATAATCATTATATAAGTTAATAGAAGACAGAAAATAGCAACAGAAATAAATATTAGACAGTAAACCTTCAGCATTGAATATACAAGTTCAGAAATGTAAGCATAGCAACCCATTCTTTAATTATCTGAAGAAAAAAAAAAGAGACACACAGAAGAAACGTACTGGAAATAAAATTTGTGCTTCATTTTTCTCTACAACTTTTGTTCAAAACGTTTTTTTTCTCAGATATGCATTTAGTGATTTAAACTAAAGATGTGTACGAGAAATGCATCTGTCCTGACGTGAAGATTCCATTACTTTTGTCTGATTTCAATTAGAATTGGAATGCATCAACATATTTACAAAAACTCCCCAATATAAAATGTCAATGAAAATCCATTCAGCTGTCCTCAAATTGTTCAATGCATACCCACGGACATACAGCATGATCTTAACAGGCATTTGGCAAATTTGTGAATTCGTGTAAAACATTATACAATGCGTGACCATGGCATTATGTGAGTTTGTCAAACATACAGGTTGTTTTATTTAATCTCTGGACCATGATTTAAACCTGGGATTTCTCAGACCCAAGGTAGGAAATGTTCACCAGTACACCACCAACAGACGTTTATGCAAAAGTATATCATGCATTTAAAGCAATACACTTACCTCATTCTGACCACTAATCTCCAACTAATGTTGAGGTCAAGCATATGTGGATCTATACATCCACTCTATATGTCTTCATGTTGTAGTGATTAATTAGTTGATCACAGTGGAACCTTTATCTTTATTTTTACCTCACACTCACCTCTTTACTCAATTCAAATTCTTCAATTTTTTCCTTTTCTCGACATTCTCTCGCAACACATATCTTCTTTGCCTTAGCCACTGACTTTCGGGACGCCTTCCACATTTCAGCATGTGACTACAAAAACATACAAGCATTACTGCTGAACTACATGACAAGCAGCCATGAATAAATTCCCTACACATTTATGGGCCACCTAAAAATTATATTATGATTAGGTTTCACTCAATGATTTTGTACTATTGCAAGTAAGGGCCCTTCATACCCACAGATTTTAAGCATTCATCTACTTACATTCTGGGGTACTTCAGTTGAAGCAGTCACAACTTCTTGGTTTGTGTGAGCTGACTCAGCAGCTGCTTTCACCATCGCTCTTGTTTTTGTTCGGGTCACTCTCATTGTTTGCTCTGGTTGCTTTGGTAGTACCAGTTCCACAGGCTCTTCACTTACAGTACGCAACCTTTCAAACGCTGCGACCCGTTCTCGAACTGGCTCATTAGCAAAAGGCCTGTAAGAATAACAACCATTTCCTTTCACTAAATTATGACCAGGCGCTGCTTGAATAATAAATTTACTATTTTCATTTATGTAAAGTTAAAAGAAAAAATAAAGTTGTCCCTGTGCTTCAGTAATGAAGCACTGCCATGAAGACATATGGAGGTGGAGGTATAGCTCCACCATTATTTATTTCAGCACTAGACGGAGGTTAGTGGTCAGCTTCACACGATGGGAGCTTTAGCTCCCTGGTACCAACTAAACAGGAAGATGGGTGGGTGCCAGAACTGGACAGGACGCGGTGGAGAAGAGAAAAAACTTCCCTTGGCTGGAATCAAACCCTGGCTGTCCAGCCCCTAGCCTGTCACTATACTGAGCTACCCTGACTCCATTTTCATTGCTGTACAATTTAATTTAAATACACAAGCAGTAGTTATCGAAATAACATGATAAGCAGTGCCAACATGTATATGATCTACAATATTTTGACATGATGACTGAAAGCCAGAATAGTGGAACAAAGAGAAGTGGCCATTGCTATGCAATGTTTTCCTGTTTGGTTTTGTGATGCAATTCCTGCCTCTCCATCTGTAACTACATCAAAGTCCCTAATGTTTACCTTTTGATATTTCATAGTTGGCATTAACAGCTGCATATATGGAGATATTGGAAATGTTTCCCAAGTAGTTGCAGTTGCAAAGCACTGAGACATGATGGCTGAAAGTACTGGGTAGGCAGTCTTCAGACAAACTGACCTTGGGACAGGCAACATTGTAGTTTGGTGATAAGAGTGTTAACTGGACATTGCACAGTAAGACAGCATCTACATATTTTGGGACTCTCAGGAAGTGCCATGTGCAGAAAATGTGGACAGGAAGAACCCTCCTACCATACATCTTATCAGTTCCCAGCTTTGCTCAGGCATAGAACAGAGATCCTCAATTCACATGGCTAGAGCAGACCAATATTAGACAGACTTCATTCAAAAATGTTTCAGCATTAACACCAAGAACAGGGCTCACAGAATGGCTCTAACAAGATGGGTGGGTGAGGGTACAGTGTGCTGTGTTCTTGGAGGAAACTGGAAGTTGCTTCCTTCCAAGTCATTGCAGAATATAGGGAATACCACATTCCACAGAAAAGAGAAATATTCACTGAACAGCAAGAAGCTGAATTGGGAAAGGGCAGAGATAAGTTTCAAATGTATAAGAAATCAGTAAAATAACAATGTATACCTGAACACAGACTTTTGTGTTGTCACCATCTTGGTTGCAGAACTCCGAAGAGTAGGTCTTGAATGTGACATGGCCAGCTGCTCTGGAACTGCCTCAGTTTCACTGTTTGGCTGATCAACAGCCTCGGTAACATTCACAAACCTGGCAGAAACATCATTCCTCTCCAGCTTCTCTGAATCTTTTGTAAATGTTACATTATTTCCAATTTTATCTTTTTCATTAACAGATATTTCTTTCTCTGATAGTTTCTCTTGCACTTCTTCAGAAATCATATCACAATGACCTTCTGCTACACAAGGCGATAGTTCAGTCCCTTTTTCTCCATGAACAGAATTACTTCTAACAATATGGCTTTTATTTTTATTTTTCCCATTTAATACATCAGGGGGGGAACGAATACATGATCTATCTGCTTGCGGTTCATCGCTTGTGAGTGAATCTACCTCTTGAACAGGTGAACTACACACAGATTTCATAGGTTCAACAGAATCAGCAAACTTTACTGCCACATCATCAAGGACACTGGAAATCTCCTTCGGAGATGTTGCCAACTTTACAGTTGAGGTCGCTGCAGTATCACCAAACTCAGATGTTGGTGATTTCTGCTGTACCTTCAGACTTTCAAGACACTCATCATTAACAGATGACGAAACGCAATCAGGGCTGTCCAGTACTATTACTTGTTCATTTTTATTTCTCTTAGCAGATATTGTGTCAGTAATGGAATCCATTCTAAGTCTTTTAACCTGGGGAAGTAATCTGGATTCCACATTAACATCTTCTGCTTTACTGTTTACAGCTTTATCCCCTAGCAGTGCAGACTCCTTCACATCAAACCGCCTATTTTTTCGTGGAAGCTGATCGTCCTCCACTATTACACCTGAAGAAACATGTTTTTTCACTTGTGTTTCGTGACTAGGCCCACCATCAATAGATTGACGCATTTTTGTAATGAGACTCATATTTATCTGTTCCGTTATTTTCTTACCCGCATCCTGGAACAAAATAAAAGAGTATAACAGAATGAAACATAAATGCGGCATATCGAATAATTCTAATCACCACTCGCTTCACCTCTTTGTTGAAGGAAATTTCTGGGAAATTTGCCCACTTAACACTGAAATTGTGACTTAAAAAATAAATGGAAACAATACAACTTTTCTTTAAATAAAACCTTGTAAAGTGGAAGGAAAAAAGGTCAATGTTTTTTTTTTCTGAATTAACCCTCTACAGAAACTTCAGTTTCTCACCAATGACCTTCTGTGGTGAATGACACCAACCAGCAACACTAAACACATTCTGCCGTAAAATCACAGCAAGCAATGACACTCTCAGCAGTATGCCTGGAAGCAAGGATTCTTCCAGTTATTCACATAAAGGCAGATCTACTATACTGTCATGATCCTTGCTTCATGTTCAGGTCATAACTTCAACTCTTGATCTGCAGGTAAGCCATACTAAGGTTATGGTGACTTTTCCTGGCCTTTTATAGGCAAACCACAGGGCAGTATCTTGAAACGGGCCACTACCTTATCTTTCTAGATGCTTTCAAATGATCTTACCATCCAAAGCCACATAACATAGTCAGTTTCAGAAGCTTCTATAACCAAACAAAGAATCAATGAAAAATACCAAAGTGAATTCTAATGATTTATAGGGTCAATATGGGTGCTATACTGCACACATACAGGTAATGCCATGCAATTGAAATTACAGCAGCCAAACATTCTGCAAAACTTCAAAACAACACAATATCCAGCTTTTTAAAAATAAAATAACAACAAAAAGAAGTATATTCATACATATATCTATGGCATATCTGCAAAACAAATTTCGTACGCTTTCTTTACAACACAACATCAGTTGCAACAATCAGATTCGTAGAATTACACAGTCTCCAGGTTAATTTGCATTTTACACAGAAATGGCTGCTTTAAAGACCTACTGCCATACAAAATTGAAGAATTTGATACTAAATTATGATAGTGACACTAATGTTTTATAAATGTGCCAAAAATACAATCTCCACAGTGTATTTACCTTAAAAGCTCTTCTTGTACTTCTCTTACTTATAACAGGACTGACCATTTCCGAACTTTGTAAAGTACCTCGAGTATGCGTACTGCGAGTGCGAAGGACTCTCATTTCACACGAAGTATGGGGACTCACCACCTTTTCTGATGTTACAACTTTGACTTCTTCTGCAAAGAAACAATCATAGAAATACACATACACTACAATTACCACTGGCTGCATACCCCCATGGTACAGTCTCCTCAAGCAGATATTTATTCAGCTCGTCAGTAACTTTCGGTTTGTCATTACATTAAAGCTTGTCATTCCATCACATCCTACAATATTTCCATCCAGTTCACATCTTCACAGCATACGAGGGGGTACCCAAAAGAAACCGAACTTATTTTTTTTAAACTTATTTATTCAAATTTTAAACACAAACCTTCAATCCCCTTCAAAGTACTCTCCACTTACACTAACACACTTGTCTAGCCTTTTATTCCATTTTTCAAAACATTGTCTACATTCATCTTTTGAGATGCTTGACAGCGCCTCTGTCGTTTTTTCCCTTCACCTCAGCAGCATCAGCAAAATGCTGAAAAAAACTTTGATCATTTCGGGACTCTTCTTTCAAAGCACAGCATGGTTCCACACGACCTTGTTTTTGTTCAGCAGTCAGCAGTCGTGGCACGAATTTCTCAGCCACCCTTTTCATTCCCAAATCTTCTGTAAAATTCGCTGAACTGAGCTCCAAGTCACTCCCGACAGCTCCACAATTTCTTCAATGGTCCGTCGTCGATCTTCCTTGATGATTTCACGAATTTTTTCAACATTTTCATGTGTTCGGGCCATTGCAAAAACGACGATCACACAAAAGTTGTCACTATAAACTCTGCCAAAACTAGTCCTTATCTTCTGAAGCAAAGGTAGTCGGCTTATCGACTCAGAAATGTTAGCTCTATGTACTCATAGTGGCAAAACGCGGTACTACAAAAGCTCTGCCCACAAAAAAATTAGTTCGGTTTCTTTTGGGTACCCATCGTACTTCTTTATGATTTATTTTAATACTACCAACAGTCCATATTTATGTTTCTCAAGTTGTCTAGTTCCTTCTGGTTTTCCAAGCAAATTTCTGTAACCTCACCTTTTCCCCATCTCTTATACTATTTACAGCACAAGCCATTTATCAAACTGTTCTCAGTCCAGTGACTAAAGGTAAAAAGCAGCGGGTATCCTGTACATGTATATAAATGTTTGTAACTTTTACACACAACCAAAATCTATACATCAATATTTCAAAGTCACCATAGCAACCTTGACTAGAGTCCATACTAGCAACCATATTAAGTAAATTCCATGATATGTGTGGGTGCTCTGTATTCAGCGCACAGTATGAAACAGGAAACTAACAGTTTACTTAGAGTCTGTACATATTACATAGGTTGAAAACATTGCTGAGTAACTAATAAGTTACCATGTACCATTGAGATACTGTTTTATGCATTCAACATACCACCTTCAGGAATAGGAACTATAGGTCCTCTCTTCCTCAGTTTTCTTTTAACAGATGGAGTCTTTGGCAGCAAGAAGGCAGATTTTGTTGTGAATTTTTCAATTTCTGAAGATATTTCAGAAAGCCACTGTAGATTTTCCTGAAAAATAAATAAATCCCATTATCAGAGCCAAACGGTGATCTTAAAGCTGAACTTTAAAAAAACGTGCAACTGTATATAATGGACAAAAAACATTTCAAATCTGGTAGCCAGAAAATATTTTGGTCATGCGAAAAAGGCAAATAAAATTTGTTGGCACCTTGCTGTGGCTCTTGCTTCCATCAGTAAGCAAGATTAGTATCTTCCCCTCGTTCCTCCATTCATAGTAATGCACACAGGCGATGCATAAGACATTGAAAAAAATTTTAAGAGGGATTAACATTTAACTTCCTATTTATGTTGACCTTAATTTCTTTGCATGCAGCTCACCATTTCCTCTGGCTGTGACTGAACATGTGGGCACAAAAATCAAATTCCTATACACTGAGCAGGAAATAAGTCACCAAAGTGCCCACAATTTTTTTACCCATGTATATGCTAATATACTACTAGCGTTCAACTGTACAGCCTATTGGTGCCCAAAACGAGTAATTTCTTCCTCAGTTAATGTAATGGAGTGGTGTGAATCACAGAGCAACAGAATAGAAATGGAGGGACACTACAAAATCATGAAAAACCTCAGTCACAATAGTAGGTCTCCAAACTGACATCTGAACTTGGGACCTTCCACACATAAAGCAGGAGTGCCAACAATCGACCATGATGCTAAGTGAATCACATAGCTTACCCAGCATCAAATTAGATGTATCAGTGTGGTTATGAATATGCATGAATAAGTTATCTATCTGCAGGTCTAGACAGCACATTTAATAATTAGGAACATGGACATATGTCTATTTTATTTATGAATTTATGGTTTATTTAATGATGCTCAGACTATACAGCATCAAATTATGAGAAGATTACTGAATAAAAATTGCAGAAGATATGGAAGGAAGCAGTTGTGGCATGGCACAGTTTGAGGTATTGTACCATCAATCATCAGGACAGAATGAAAAATGCCATGAGAACCTTGAGATGGATAATCTCAGGACCCAGAAGTCACAGCAGGATCTCATGAATGTGAAACAGAAGTACCATGCACTCACCTGCAAAGTTGAATAGAACAGATATTGAAAAAAAGGTTTGAAGCATATGAGCTTCAGTCAGTGATCGTAACATGCATACAGTTTCCACACATATTTCATACTATGACAAAATATATTTTTGAACAGTTATCTCTGCAAGTTCAGTTCTGACTGTAATACAGGCCTGTAGTTCCTATCCATCTACAGGCCAGAATAAAAAACTAAATACTGTAACGGAGTATAACACACAGTGTTATAACAGCAGTATAACACACGCAGTCACAGGAGCGAGACGCAACACAGAGCACAATACACGATAGTGAAAGAGAGAGTTCCAACAGAGGATGATAGACGTGACTCGCGTAATGAAACACGACGTAGGAAAGAAATATGCTGTACAGTTTTAGTATTTTAACACTTGACATTTGTCAGTATATATGATAAATATATATTTTAGTTATTTTCGTATGTAAAGACAAGGCATGCAATGAATTAGTTTGTCGTGGATTGGATCAGCACCTGAAGATGGCACATTGGTGCCGAAACATGTAGTGAGAGTGAAAAGAGGGGATAAATAAATGTATGCACTAGAAGACGGATAAAATAAATCATGGACTTAAATCAGTGCAACAGGACGCTAAAATATAACAT